ACAGGCAATTATCTGGTACAGTTGTTGTCTTATGCATTCTCCGGGTGTTCCTGCAATGTATACGAAGGAAGATGAAGATAAAAGATGGGAATGTAAATTTTACCTGCTGATTGAAAAGCTAAACGTCGGGTTGCTTCTTTCTCTATCCTCTGCTTGTTGATTAGTGTGAATGAGGGTATGTTGAAACTCCTATTTATAGCACACAAGGGGATAGTGTTTTAGTTGGAGTTAAGCTGAAATTATGCATCCTAGTGAGGTTGGGGGGTCTACTTCTGTGGTTGTAGGGTAAATTATGCTGCTGGAAACAAGCTTCCTCCAAGAGTTAAGATAATGCTGACAAAGATGTAATTAAGTGAGAAATTGGGTTTGATAATATTTTGAAATATGATAATCCTGCTAAACATGAGCAGTTTGAAGTTCGAAAAGTTAAAGTTGTTGTTCGCCAAGGAAAAATAAATTAAAATTTTGGAATTCCTATGGGCTTGCGATGGACATTTATAGACTGTGTCAAGAGTTTTGGGCTTTGGAGCATCCAACAGGGGCTAATAAATACTAACATCTAACATGGCAGAATCTTCATATGTTTGGACTCAAGGAATAGTTTTGGGCTCATGGAATTAAGATGTACTTTGTTGAATTTAAAGGACCGTTTGTTAACTTTCGAGACTTCCTCGCTCCAACCATTACAAGCGGTATGTCTCGACAAGTCTCGATGGGGCAATTTGTAGACACAGAAAATTTGAATATGACAAATGGACTGATAAATGGTTATTGGGCCAATGTTGAGATTGATGATTGGGCCAATTTAATTAATTGGATCATAGAAATTAATTTAATTTGATTAGTCCAATTAGACTTGATTTGAGCTATTGAATTAATTAATTAATTGGCCCAAACCCATTTCATATTTGAATTATAATTGTAATTATAATTTAAATATAATATAATTTTATTATATTTAAATTAAATAATTATAATTTAATTTGAATTTGAATTAGATTATAAAATAATGAACATAGACTTGATTTTGGGCAAGGTTCATTTTCCTAAATAAATAATTAACTAATTAATTAATTAGAAAGGGGAGTTTGTTGATGGATTTTGGTTAGGCATTCACTATAAATAGAGCCTTCATTTTCATTCCAAAACACAACAATTGAAGACTTAAGGAGTTGAGAGCATTTGAAGAACTTGAAGGCTTTGAAGGCAATTTGAAGAACGCTTGAAGATCTTGAAGTCTTTGAAGAAAATTTGAAACCATTGCAGGCACTTTGAAGCTTTGCAGAGTTGACTGTCTCGAATATCTTGAAGTCTTTGAAGGCAATTTGAATCCATTGTAGGTGCTTTGAAACATTGCAGGGTTAATTGTCACGAAACTTGACGTTTGCGGTTGAAGATCACGCCAATTGAATCCCGGAAGCTACGCCATTTGAATCCTGGAGGCACACGCCATTTGAATCCCGGAGGCTACGCTACTTGAATCTCGGAGGCACTTCAGTAGATAACGTTAGTGAAGAATCAAAGGACCACACAAAGACTTTGTACCTGCACCTTGAATTATACACACACTGTAAACCAATTTTGTGAAATATATACAAAGTTTATTTTTTATGTTTACACTTTCTCCTAAAGGGCGTATGTCACAGTTTGAAAAGATCAGGAGGGATAGTGTAGAGATATGTGATGGACTACCATTGTCAATTGTTACCGTTGCTGAGCGCTTATCTAAATGCCACTACATATTAAGGGTGTGGGAGAAGACTAAAAAGGAAATACATCGAGTCATTGGGGATTTTGGATCGTAGTGCTCTCATCTTCAACACTACTACAGAAATCACTTACAATATCGGTTAAATGAAAAATCAACGTTAAACATTTTTCTAAACTTAATTTTTTTTTAAAGACATATAACGTCGGTTTAATCATAAAACCGACGCTATACGTCCATCAAATTTTTTTTAAAAAAATAAAATTTACAAAATATACGACGTCAATTTTTCATTTAACAGACGTCGTAACACATTAATTAAAAAATAAAGAAATAAATATACTATACGACATCGGTTAGTAGACAAACCGACGTCTTATAGTTATTCGTATTTTTTTTATTTATTTTTATCTGGGATACGAAGTCGGTTAACCTTTGTATTTTTAAAAAATAAATAAATAAAACTTTCAGATCGTATTGAAATTACAAACGTCGCTCACACTTCAAACAAAAAAATTAAACCTACCACCGCTCCACCTCGTCTCCACGTCACACTGACATCCTTGTCTCAAAAAACAAACGTTAAAAGTCTCAAAAATCGACGTTAATAAGCATTTTTTGTAGTAGTGAATTACAATCAGTTGTCGCAAGATTTAAAAGTGTGCTTTCTATATCTTGGAGTCTTTCCAAAACGAACAAAAATCCTAGTTAAAAAGCTTATTGGGCTTTGGATTGCTGAGGGGTTTTTGAAGCCATTGAGCTTAAAAAGTTAGAATTCAATGTTATGCATATTTACCAGAACTTATTGATAGAAATCTTGTTCTAGTATGCAACCGGCTGAAGGCAAAATTAAGAGTTGTAGAATGCATAGTGCCTTGCATAGCTTTTGTGTTGGAGAAGCTCAAAGAGAGGGTATTTTCTGTGCAGTAAATACTCTACAATATTCAGGATTGCCATTAAGCGAGTTTGCAAAATCGAGTCGTTGGTTAAGTTTATGCAAACATGGTTTTGACTATTATGTGTTGTTTAATACTAACAACCCTCGCTCCATTTTCTTCTTTAGTGATAATCCTAAAACTTTGGTTCCTTTCAAGCTCCTAAGAGTTTTGGCCTTTGTTCCGCCTCCATTCCTCCAAAGAGTGTCAATGCATTTAGGTGATTTAGTTTTTCTGAGATACCTATCTATAACTCAAAGGTTTGAGGGGTTGGGCAATATAGTGTATCCCAAATTTGCATAAACTTATTGTTTATAGTGATGAACCACAAATTGGAGCTCCTACTATCCATTTGCCATCCAAAATTTGGGAGTTACAACTGTTGAGACACCTTGAACTTGGAGATATGTATACGGTAGATCCTCCATGCGATGTTAAAGTGAAATTACAAACATTATCTTGGGTGAGTCCAACTCATTGTGGAATGGAAGTGTATCACAATTTTCCAGACTTGAGAAAATTGAAAATTTTCTATAAAGATGCCAAGCCATACTCATGGGTCTTCCAAAAATTCCATCGCTTTGGATACTATTTAGAACAGCTTGAAAGGCTAACGATTTCAGTTTTGGATGGTTGGACTGTGACCCTTACCGAATGGTTTATGTTTCCTTCACAATTGAAGAAATTTAGTTTGAAAGGAACTTATCTTTCTAAGAGATTAAGATTGAGCAGGACTAATCTTTGTAAAGATTCTTTCTTTGTTGAAGGTGTAAAAAAAAATCTGTTTGATAAATACTCTTTCAAAAGTCATATACATTTAGTCCTAAGATGTTGTTATTGTTTGAAAAAGATGTCATTTTTGTATATTGCAACCTTGAAATCAATTGAGTTAGATAAGTGTAACCTTCCATTGTAATTGGCAGCATCAGATACTCTACTTTCCTACAAACTGCATCCAAATTTAATAGTGTACTAGCTGTAAATACACCTACACTATGTGCGATAAAATAATATCCGATGAACAACAAAAAGTTAATAAAATTAAATGATTGAAATAAGTAAAGAAACACATAAATCTTATAAAGATTAGAATATATAATTTTAATTTTTAATGATAAAAAATATTATTATCTAGCATAAATTTAAGCAATCATTGAATTTGTAAGTTGTGTTTCAAAAAGACTAGATTTATCTTTTAGCAAATGCAATTACGTTTAAAAAAAAAAATAACATGTACTTAGTTCTTGAAGTTCAAAGTATCTAGAAGTTAGAATATTATTCCAACATGACACATTCAAAATTATTCAATTTAAACTACTCAAGTCGGATGCCGTTGAACAAGGCCTTGAACTACCAATAATTAGAACAGAAGTTTTTTGCACTTTTGGTCGCACGACTATAGTGTCACTAACAACTTTGATCCACGACTTTTAAAATTAAACTTGCAGAATTGGTCCACGACTATGACTTTTTTTAGCAAATTTGGTCCTTCCGGTGCATTTTTCATTAAATTTTTGCCGGAAAATTTTACTTCCCATGTTAACATAGGTAATATTGTATTTTTCCATCTCACAAACTAATGACATAAATAAATAAATAAATATTTATTTATTTATTTAAACTCAGTCAGTGGTACGGTGATTGAAATTAAAAGTCACCCAATTCCAATTCCAATTCCACTTTCAGTTTCACCCTCCTCGCTAAACGCTAAAATTTTTTAGCTGTTTATTTATTTATTTATCTCATTATTTTGTGAAATGGAAAAGACAATATTACCCATGTTAAAATGTGGAGTAAAGTTTTCTGGCAAAAATGCACCGGCAGGACCACTTGCTAAGAAAGTCAAAGTCGTGGACCAATTCTATAAGTTTTAAAAGTCGTGGATCAAAGTTGTTAGTAACATCATAGTCATGCGACTAAAAGTGCAAAAAACCCACTAGAACAGTATTAAGATAAACAAATCAAAATCAAGGACCTTGTAGTCCAATGGTACCACGTTGCTCCCTTATGTGGGAGGTGATAGATTCGAACATCAGTGGAGGCATTTGATGTAATTGGGTATCCCTTCCTACAAAAAAAATAAAAAATAAAATAAAAAAATTAACAAGTCAAAAATAAATCTAAACGAACAATACCAAGAGTAGATTGTGTGCATTGCGCACCACAATGTGCGTTTATGTACAAGCAGATAAAAGTGGCTCAATCTAATCTAATCTAATAGAAAATAAATAAAAATTAAGAATGAATGAGGCAGGCTGTAGGCTGTAGCTTCTAACCTCATTTCATTTTGCTCAAATCTACTGGCCCGCAGAGCCACTACTACAGGGCTTGTGCCTCTTTAACAGATTTGTCAATCGCTTTTTCCTTTTCTTTAATTTATGGATGTACGACTTCAATTTCCCAACCCCAACATCTTCTACCATCTGCCCTGGCCCTGCTGATTCATCATATTCACCGTCCACCTCCATTTTTATCTATGAGATTTAGAAAAAATTAAATAATACGGAGTAACAGATTTTTCACACAATTAAGTTCAGCATCTAATAAAAAAAAGGAACTCTCATAGACAACTCAGTTAATCGCTAAGTAACGTTTGGAAACAACGATCCTAAATCGAGTCTAACCACGTGTTGGTCCCGATAGAGTGTAGTGAGAGTCTAGAGGGGGGGGGGGGGGGGTGAATAGACTCTTTTCGTGTTTTGCCCTAAAAACCACCTTTCGGTGTTTTGGCGCAGCGGAAATGTCAAATTCAATTATTTGCTTTGTACGAGTTTACGTTGTAAAGAAAACTTTCGGTAATGATGATGAGGACAATATGATGCAGAAATGAAATGTGTAAGTAAAGAGATAAAAGGTACAAGAGATTTTATAATGGTTCGGCTAACGTTGCCTACTCCACTCTTCTTCCACAACTTGTGAAAGGATTGCACTATCACTCGTTAGTACAATTACACAAAGACTTCCTTGATCACTAAGCCGGACAGCCTTTGTAGGTTTTTCAACTCCTCGAGTTTACTCCGCCTCTATCAACTTCTTCTTCAGAGTTGAGGTTGGTAGAAAATGATTTCTGATTTCTCCAACTTGATGATGTCTTGACTGTGTGAGATGATTGCTTCGTACAAATGGCAAGACTTCTTTAAGGTGTAAGATGACGATCAATGAACTTCTTCAAATATCTTAGCACCTTAACACTGGTTCACAAAAGCTTGAGAGAGCTGAGAGTGTTTAAGAGCTTTTGCATATATAGATCGAGTGAATGAAAACCAGCACCTTCTTAGTTGATGAAGGTGGGTTTATATAGGTGATGAAAATTCATCCGTTGGAGGGAGATGACATTTTCGAACATTTTATCCAGTGGATAAGGACCGGGGAGCTTCATGCATTAAATGCTCCATTAATGAGGTTGTACCATGTAGCCGTTGAAGGTATGGAAAGCATTAGGGTTTCGTCCTTTAGCTCCAGGAGTTGGTACATCTTCATTTAATGCTCCTTGGCAAACGTGTCCCACAAGTTGAGGTCCTTAATTTCCTAGGATGTTGTCAAATCAGACAAAGAGAACATTCTTCTTGTTGTTGAAGGTAAGAATGCTTGGAGAGAATCGTCCTTAATAAATCTGTCCTTTCGAGGTAGTTGACAACTCCTTATTAGTTCTCGTTGCTATTCTTTCGTCTTGGAGACCCTATGTAACACCCCAGATTTTCAAGACATTTTAAGCTTATATAATAAAGGTAATATCTCATTACATCCCAAAGTGTATCATAAGTGTACGGGGTGCTATGCCACACCTGGGCTAGAGAACCCAGGTGCACAGGCTGTCTAACTAATATCCATTGAAACACAATGCATAATATGGCACGCAGGCCGAAAGGGAAACTAATCTATTTCTACGCTCCAATTCTAGCGCGCTCCAGTGCTCTAGTCCTCTGTGCCTGAAAGCCAAATATATCTGTTCAGCGAGAGATGCTGGTAACCCACTCCAACGCGTTGAAATACAATACATATAGAGATATATATAGATATATGAAAACCGTTTTGAGCATGAAGATATATCCTACGAACTCTAGCTTTAAAACCGGGAATGACTCGACAGATAAGGTCAGACACAAGCAATAGTTATGACGAGTATATGCAGTTCACAATAGATAAGGCAGATAAGGCAAAGCATAAACAATAATCACAACCCATCATAAACAATTCCCAATATAAATCCCATAGTCACATCCCCCAAGGCGCTCATAGTCACAATTCGTCCATATCACACACATAACGCACATTGTTGGCGCCACGGGACCGATCGCATGCCCATACATGAGGGTCAGCGCATATAGCTCTGACACAGCCCCGCAGCACCATGCCCCGTATCGCAAGACGGGGAGGTCGATCGCAACCGACCGATGAACCGCAGCTCACCATAATGTTTGATCGCAACCAAACAGTGGACCGCAGCCCAAGAGAGTGTGTCATCTGACTGTAGCCAGGAATTCCCATCTGACTACAGCCAGCCTCTGAACCGCAGCTCAGGAAAATGTCATCTGATTGCAGCCAGGAATTCCCATCTGACTACAACCAGCTTCTGGACCGCAGCCCAGGATACCGTCATCCGACTGCAGCCAGGAATTCCCATCTGACTGTAGCCGGCTTCTGAACCGCAGCTCAGGATAACCAATCCGATCGCAACCGAATTGGGGCAACATGCACACATAACACATAGCAAGCACATGCAACCCACATTACACATTGGGAAGGGGGATAAAGCGTATAACAAACCTATGCGTGATCCATCACATACTAAGGATAGTCCTAAGGGGTTCATACTTCTTTCACCTAGGTCAACGGGATACCAATTCAACTAGCATACAATATAATAGACTCATAAACCTACGAACGGTACCCGAAACATCAAACTAGACATAGGCACGACAAACGGGGTCCGTTGGGACACCACGGGGATCGGGGAAACATCAAACGGGGAAGCCAGGGTCCCGAGGGGGGAAAATTCCAGCGGGTAGCCGGTGGGTGGGGGTCCACCCGCCGGCTGCCCGCCGGCCAACACTGTTTCGGGCAGCGGGTGCCCGGCGGGCAGCTGCCCGCCCGCCGGCTGCCCGCTGCCGGAACTGCCCGAAGTTGCCACGGGTAGGTGGCGGGTCCCCTACCCCCACCTACCCCCCACTGACTCTTTTCATCACTTTTCGCCCCGGGAACCGTTGTGGAACCCGAAACCATGCTTAGACACTTTACAACGCAATTAACGACAACACGTAGACAATTAACGGATCAAATACGAGAAACGAACGGCACCTAACCTATCATGCTTTTCTAAACGTAATCAACACCCAAACATGCGATTTCCCCACCCGATAACCCAAGAATAATAACATACGATACAACCTAGGGTTCTAATTACTTTTATATCAACAAGAATACGATTCACCTTCTAATTGCAAGATTCGGTAAGAATAACACATAAACATCAAGGATGCCAATTAATCATCAAGAACATCATAATCATCAAGAACAACACATAATCATCAAGGATCCTGAATTAATCATCAAGAATATCATCATTATCAAGAAACTCCCAATTATCAAGATTATCAAGATTCCCCATGGAATCGTCAAATCAACATCAATAATAATCACCATAATTTCGCCATTCACAATAATATGGGGGAAACCCTAAGGGGAAATCATAGCTATGAAAATAGGTTTTGTTGAGACATGGGTTACCTCATTCGCTTATCAATCCCAAAAATACCGTTAGCAAAACCTGTAAATCAAATCAGACTTTCACTAAATAATCAAACTAATAGAATAATTAAACCCTAGGGGATTCAAACCCTAATATTCTCCCAACGCTAAAGGTATCCTATCCATCTAGGCTAAACCCCTTTTGTTAACTAATGGCATTATTACTTAATTCTAACCTAATCTATTTCAAGTAACCCATATTGGAAATCCGTGGCCGTATTATCCCATTATTATCACCAATTACAGTGACAACGTTCATGGCTTACCAAAAGATTATATAATTAACATGCTAAGGGTAGGGTTCGAACGCTAGACATTCCTCTCACGCTACTAACGCCCCTACCATCTCACCACCGTAACTTCTTAATACTAAGGCCGGATTTATTATTCTTTTAGTGTGCCGCCACGCCATCATCTTCATCCGTTCTCATCACCATTACAGTACGTGATGGTCGCTACGCACGCCTTACGCTCCCCATCCCAGATATCCACTATTATGGCAGTATCGACACCTTACCTCCATCATCATGGATTGCCGTTGCTACCGTCGAAGGAGCGACGTTTGCCTTTGCTTCCTGACAAAGGCGACAGCGGGTGGTTTCCGGGAAGTGCATCGCCTGCCCTCCTCTCGTCGTTTTCTTCTGCCAATCCCGCCGTCGATGTCCGCCTTCGTTGCTTTACTACTTTGCCAGGACAAAGGGTGTTCGGAGTGCTCCCCGGGATCGCCGTAGCTTTGGTCGGAGAAGTTCGCCGCCGGGAGGGAGAGAGGGACAAGGGATCTGGATTGTGGTTGTATGGTTTGTTTCTTCTTACGTCGAGAGAGAGAGAGAGAGAGAGATGCGAAGGGAGGGGGGGTTACGTACGTATATATATATATATATATATATATATATATATATATATATATATATATACGTATGTTCGTTCGTATAGGATTGGGTGTATATGTATGTACTATATATATATATATATATATATATATATACATATTCTCATACGTATATACGTATCCTACTTCATCTTTGTATAATAATAATAATAATAATAATAATAATAATAATAATAATAATAATATATTATTATTATTATTATTATTATTATTATTATTATTATTATTATTATTATTATTATTATTATTATTAGGATTAGGTTTCTTGGTTTAGGTGGGTCAAGGTTAAGTATGTTTGGGCTTGGGCTACACTATACTTATTGGACCTATAGGGTATATATATTTGGCTTTGGATTTGGACATGGGTCCATGATCCACCGTGGGTCATATCAATCAACTAATGGGGATTAAATCCCTTTTTAATTGTTTTTGGCGGAATTAATTTCATAATTAATTCCGGGTTGAGGGATCGTAACACGGGGTGTTACACTCTCCCCCCCTTACAGGAAGCTTCGTCCCCGAAGCTTAGGCACCATTTTTGGGGATAAAGGGTCGCAATTAGCACAGTAGTCGTTTAGGGGAAGTATTCTACTGGACAATATCTAATTATATATATATCTATGTTCTCTTGGTCTTGGGGAGGACTGGGTTAAAAGGGGTACAAGAAGTGCGGTTTTAGATTTCCAAGTAGAGGGATGGCTAAGTAGAAATAGGGTCAATATTTCCAAAGTTGCAATTTAGGAAAGAAGGTTGCTACCTTGTATGGGATTGTTTCAAATGAGGGGCCAGGAATGAGGTTTGGAGTGATAGAACGGATTCCTTAATGAAACGGCATTT